AATGCGGCTGCTGAATGCCATCCAACGGAAAGGCAGGGATCTTCAATTTGGGAACCTCGAACCTCGGTAACAGTGTGTAACAAGTTTCAGCTTGTTCGGTGCAGTCAGTCAGGTGTGAGCTACGGTTGAGAGAAGGTGTGTTTTCAAGTGTGCTGTAAATCATTCTCCATCGTGACAATGCTCCATGTCACACATCGCTTCTGGTACATGGCAATTTCTGTCAAATAAAAACATGACGGTGTGTCCTTATCCACCTTATTCACCGGACCTGGCACCATGCAACTTCTTGCTAGTCCCCAAAGAGAAAATGATTCAGGACATAGAAGCAGCCACGACAGTATAACTAAAGACACTCACGAAAGAGGACTTCCAGAACTGCTTCAGAAAGTGGCAAGAACAATGGGATAAGTGTGTTCAAAGCAAGGGCGAGTATTTTGAAGGTGATTAATGACTACATGTCTTTTACTATATAGTTTTTTAATTTAAACATTCACTGTATTGTTTGATCATACTTCGTATGTGAGCTATGAGGCTACAAAGCTAAACAGAAAGCCTCAAAAATGTAAAGGAGGGGCCGGCCGAGTGGCTCAGTTGGTTAAGAGCTCGCTCAAGAGTTTGAGCTCTGAGCAAAAGTGGTTCGATCCCGGCCCAAGCTGAGCAGCCGCTGAGCTGCCANACATTAAAGAGCTTTGACTTTATTTAGTAGATTATGAAAATCATACAAGAAGTTTTAAAATCTGTATTTTCGACAGATCATTCTGGCAACCGGGTGGCAGACAGGTTTACAATACAAAAATTATAGAGGCATATGGGTGCAGGTAGAAGATGAGGGCCTGAGCTAGGTCACGGGCAGTCAGAAACTTGCCAGGCCTTAGGGGATGAGTGGGGGGAAGGGGAGAAGGAGTCAGCTTTGGCTCACATGACAAAGGAGATGGTGAGGCCACCAAATGGGACAGAGAACATAAAATGGATGCAAGGTTACATGGAAAAGAGGATGAGTTCATTACGGACAACATGCTGAGTTTCAGGTAAACACAAAACAAAAGGTGGAGATGTTTAGGAGGCACCTGGATAAACAAGCACACTGTTCTCGGAAGGGATCATGAAATTTAAAATCGAGAAAAGTACAAATTTAGAAGAAGTGTGGACAATCAAACAAATTTTGGAAAAACCAACATGCAAGGGAAAGATGGAGGCAAAAGGAAGTGAAAGAATGAGAGGGAGTAACAGAAACGATGAAGAAAATGATAGCAGAATTATGTCATGATGAAGACATTCTGAGAAGATGAGAGGCACAGTTTTAAAAGCAGAAAAATGTACCTGAACTGGTGAATGCAGAGACAAAATGTGGAACTTTCATACAACGGAAGGCTATTAGACAGTAAAAAGGAACGAAGCAGACACCTGCTATACCACAAGGAATCGCAAAAACAGTATGCTAAGTGAAAGAACCAGACGCCAGAGACCAAACCATGCATGACGCCATTTACACGAAATGTCCAAATTAGCAAACTCTAGAGACAGAAAGCAGATCAGTGTTTATGTGGGGCTCAAATCAGGTCTGTTCTGTGACACAGTGTGTATCGTTAGGAGAGAAGGATGAAATAAGATGAGGTAAAGAACGTGGACGAAAAGGCCTTTGAGCAGGAGGAAGAAACATCCTGTAGGTAAAGACAGGTGTGCATTCGGATGAGCTGGGAAAGGGGTCAGGAACTGGGGCTGGTCATCCCTCACAGTAACAGTTTTCTGAATTAAACAGAAATGACAACGTCCTCTGAGTGGCTGAGAAGGGCGACTGAGGATAAAGAAGCTGATCAAGAACAAATAAAGAACAGGGGTCACAACAAAGGACAGGGGTGGAACAGGACTGAAGATGCTGTTGAAGTTAGGACGGCTAACTGCTGAGAGTTAGAAAACCTTTAAAAACAGGAATTAGAGATCAGGGCTCCACAAAGTCACAGAGCAGAGGCGGCAGGAAAATTAAGCNTAAAGCACAAATTTTTGCATGAAATTTAGCTCATACATTATTTTATACTGTATACTTACTACATCAAACTTCTGAGTGATGTTCCCTTGGATATCAAGTAAATAAACCTTGCCATAGTGTGTGCCCAGTGCCAAAAACTGTAAGAAGAACAGAGGGGTCAGTTTATTAATATACCATTAACACACAATTAGTAATAAAACCGTTTTCAAAGTCAAGACTCCTAATGCATAAGTGACCTGTGATGCCTTGGAAGATATGCATTCCTTGGAGAAGGCTCATTTCCAGCTTCAGGGAAGTAACAGGACAGGGCCCACTTTACTGTGATAGTGAAGCAAGCTGTCAGAATGACTCATGAGGACCCTCATCTACTGACAACTAAAGGTGTGTGTGCACTCTCTACACAATGCCCGATGGACACAGGCAGCAAATTGCAATGCAGGGGGAAAGCAAGGCCAACCTAAGGCTGGAGTCAAAGTCACAAGGGGATGGTTAAGCAACTCGCTTTAATTCATGGCAAATATGTAAATTTGTGCTATCACTTAAGCTCAACATATATATACACAACAAAGTATTCTTTTTTAGAGAAGAAAATCCATGCCATATATCAAGAGATGAAAAAACTCAGATGTACTTACACTATCGGTCAGCACCAGATTGTCTCTACAAAAGTTAATGTATAATACTGAGTGTAAAAATTTATATTCTAATGCAAAAAAATTCTTTTGTCACAATAACTGCTAAGCTACATACTTTAGGATATAAAACTAGTTCATTTCACTGTTCATTTGACTGCTCTTATAACTCTGAAAAACTAACCCTTCAACAAACCAGAAGAAACTTGAGCACTACCTGAAATATGACACGATGTTTTTTTTCCTTTTTATTTCTTTACACATTACTCAAATAGTTCCAAATTCTCTGTTTTCCATTGCATGTGAGCATGCTTCACTGCAACCTTTAATGAAATGCTCAAATTTACAGGCACTACTAAGCATTTCAGTCAAGCTGCACAATCTTTAAAAAACAACCTTACAGAAAGTCATGATTTTCAAAGATTTATCAAAATGGAATTGCTTAAAATGAAATTTCAGTTCAGGCACTTAAAATATGAAGCTACATTAAAGAGGAGTCACAAGAAGGGAAAGAAGGGGTTCATTAGAAATTCATCCCCTGCGATGCCTTTCACTCCTGCAAGGTTGCCTTTTTTCAAGAAGAAAAAAGTCCCCGGGGTAAAAAAATCAATACTGGTTAATAAAACATCAGGTGTGCAGACATAACTAGGTATGACGAGTCCTGCCTGAATGCACCAGGTGCCACGCCGATTACTCATCCAGGGCAGACAGCACGCCTGGTGAGAACGGACNGCTGATCTAGGGGATATAGGGACTAATGGAGGCACATCACAGAGGACATAAACATCACAGGACAGACGTAAACACTGAGTTGTAGGAAAGAGTGGGGCTCTCTGAAGAGATGAGATTCATCAGGAGCCTAGACAAGCCTCATCTTTGCAGTTAGGCTCCAGTATTTAGACTAAAAAAACAACTTTGCTTTGGCCCAGTAGACCCCACTGATAAACAAGGACCTAGCAGAAATACATGGTCTCATGAAGAGGTAGGAGCTTGTTGGAGCAGCTCAGTGCTGTCAGCCCGGGAGCCAGGACTAGGCAGGGAAGGTGCAGTCAGAATCCACCGCAATTCCCAACAAAGACGCTGCCATGCGTCATATGGCCCACTTTGTCTACTTCAAATAGCAACTTAGCGTAGAAATTAAAACTGATGTCTTCATACCAACTAAGTTGGGCTGAAAGGTGGACACAGTGAATGAGGGGTCCTCTGTGCAGATGGCCATGCTGCCCAGATTCCTGGCCTCCAGGGTTCTAATGCTGCAGCTCCAGAAATCAAATTTTCCCCCCAGAGAACATTGCCCTAGAGTGTATAATAATTTTATTCTGTAAGAGTTAATGCGACAGAAATAGGACTGTGGCCCCTAAAATCATATAACTAGGACAGCAATAATAAGCACATTACTACTCTCTAACAGTAAGTCTCAGCGGGCCACCCCTTCAACTGTGAGTTTTAAGCACCTGCTGTACCACACCTTTCAGGACGAACATCAGCTCCAGAAAGCCAAACGCAGTGCAACTCAGCTGACAGCACAGCTACGTGAACATCTCAACAGAGCCCACAGATGCCCTTGCTGAATTTCTCCATATGCAAGTTAATGATACCACCAATGATCAAGGAAAAATCTGTTTAGGAGTAAAGACATTCTTACTTATTTTTTCTCACTTTTACTTACAACTTAATAATAGCAGCAGCAGTGCTAATGCATCCTATTATCTAAAAACATCTGAGAAAGTAAAGCCTTTGTGTTTTCACAGGTTGGAAAAAAAATCCCTCTAAAAAGCGCAATACAAACACTTTAAATATCTGAGTTATAAATCAAATAGAAAATGTCTAACTTATTTTTCAGACACAAGGTGAAGAAAGACCATTTAAAACGTCACAAATTCAGCTGTACCTTCACCATAGAAATTATTGTTATAATGCTCTCCGGTGTAAAAACAATGCTTTATTAATTCCCCATTAAGTCACTTCCCAAGGAGATTGTCATCTCCCAACAGTTCTCAAAAGAAGCATCTCATAAACCAAGCTGCAATGTCTACATACTCAAAAGAAATTCCTGGAGTCAAGTCACTAGGCCTGTACTGGGACCATTTCACAGAGCCGAGTTACGTTAAGTCAGCATGTTCTTAAAACACCAAGAAATAAATCCATATGTGCAATGTGGTAAAAGGTACCCGCTCCCCAGATGAACCACGGATCTGATGGAGCAGGTGGGAAAACCAGTCTGTAAGAACGGGTATGTGGAGGACGTTTCTCTTTCTTCCACGCTTCTTTTCCCTCCCTGCCTGCCTCCCTCCCCGCTTCCAGATCTGCCTGCCCTATACACACTGTTAAAGCCAACCACATCCATTAATTTAAAAACAGCAGCTCTCTTTCAGGAAGTGCTCAAAGGCCTGCCACCAGGCTCATGCCTCAATCCCAGTCCTTATCATAGTGGTTAACATTCACTGAGCCTGGTAATACATATTTCACGTGTGTATCTCAAATAACCCTCAAAAGAACCCTATCCATCAGGGGTGGGACTATGCTCTACATTTTATAGAGAAAGAAAGTGAGAAGAGAGGTTAAGTAACCGGCCCAAACTAATGCGGGTGGTGCAGGGGCTGAAACCTGGAGTTGGCCCTGAGCCTGGCACACAGCCATGGCACCACTACCCAACTCCCGCGATCCAGGACCCAGTAGCCACCCTGCTAATGCGCACATCAGTCCTCACTGCCGGCCATCCCTCAGCCCCTCTCTTTCTACAGCCATTCTGGGGTGGCTGGATTTCCAGTAATGCAACCGAGCCACAGCCTAGTGGGGCTAAGGAAAGAAAACAGAAAATCAGCAGGTTCAGGGGTATGCAAATGTGTGTGCAGTTATTTTCCTGGCAAGGCAAGAACTTCAGACCCTATCATGACATCAAGAAATAAATCCTCCTTCTCACAGTCCAGTGAGGATTTTCTTCAAGGAAGAATGAAGACTCAAATGTAAAAAGCAAAACTTTAAAACTTTTGGAAGGAAATATAGAAAGGTATCTAAAAATTACAAACCACAAATGAGAAAACTGACATATATTTACTGCATTCAAATAAAAAAAAACTTCTGAACAATTAAAAATACCACCAATGAGGACTTCAAAGATAAACCATAGACTAGATGACATATGCCACTCTCTGAACAAGGAGATGTGTGCAGACTCTCCATGGCCCCGCCCCCGCCAGGGGAGCAGAGTGCCAGTTCCCCTACTCACCACTGTCTGATATCTGGAACTGAACAGGGTTTAAAATTGAAACCATCAAATTAAAACCACACACCATTAATGCCAAATTAATGGGTGTGAAATTTCACATTTCCCTGACTACTCTACAATTACTAGAGACATTGAGCATCTTTGTACATGGTTACTGGAGACATTTTGAGGTTCTCCATCTGAGAACTTGTTCATACTGTTTGCCAAGTTTCTGTCTGGGTTGTTTGTATTTTCCTTATCTGACTGTAAGAGTTCATAGGGAAGTAATATTTTAACAAAAATACATACACTGTTAAAATTTTCTACAAATGCCTTATGATTTTACAGCTTTTATAGAACTCATAGAATCCAAACTTGTGAAAAAACAGAAACAATGATGATCAGACTTAAAGTATTAATTATTGTGAAAATCGAAGCTGTCCTAAAAGTAAACCATCAGTGTTTCATTTAATAATAGAAAGATTATTTGCAAGTGTTGTTATATTTGACTTGCTGGTGACTTCTGATTTTCAGCCATTACATGAGCCACCCTGATCAATGTTGTTATTTTTGCTAGTAAACACTCAACTTGTTATAGATCAATGTAGAACTTTACACACATACTGACAAAGTATATGAATTAACAATTCTCCAAAGAGTAAACAGCCCCACTAGTAGTCAGAAAAATATTAACTAAATCAATAAATTCCCATTTTCTAGAAATCTAAGTGGCAAAGAATTTTTGCATGGTAACAGCCAATACTGGTTGGTGATGAAATATAGTGACAGTCCCATATAGCACGGGCAGGTATATAATTCGGTCTGACCCAAAGTGCAGTGAAATGCAGCAATCTGCAGCAAAACCTTAAACGTGTTCATAGCATCTGACCGATCTGGTGTTTTCACCTTGAAGGATTTGTTCAAAGGAAATACTCAGTCACAAGGTTCCCCAGCCCACCCAAGGAAGTCCATGCCAGTATCACGCCTGGATTTAGCATCATTCATTACGTGTACAGGGCACTGGATAGGTGGATCCTGGACAGCTCCAGGCAGGAACAGACCTGCTTCTTAAAGAAACTAATTCTATAAGACTAGAGTGAGGCTCCCCTTTTCCCCTAATTCCCACTCCTAACACAAGCCTGGCCAGACATCCTATCAAAGGACTTATAGTAACTGCTTCAGGTCGAAGTACACATCCCTGGCAAGTCCATCAAAGTCCCTCCTGGTTGGTTTTTGCCCGAGTTACTGAAGAAGGAGACCTTTCATATTTATGAGGATTACAGTGCTGTGACATCAA